GAATGCACGGAGCAGAAGCAGGAGTCGTCTAAGGAGACGCCCATGGCAGGGAGACAGGGAGAAGCTGATCCCCTCTGACAGCTCCCCAGACAGCTGCAAGGGCCTGAGGCCATGGATCTGGAGATTAGTTATTTGTCCAAATAGAGCAAAGGGTGCAGGGCCCTGTGTCTGCTGGCAGTGGTGTGGTGAAGACATGGCCACTGCCCGCAGGCGCTGAGAGGGGGACCAGAGGGCAGCAGGAGGTGGTGGAGCCTGATGGCTCTGCTGAGGGGCTGCTTTCGCATCTGTGCAGCAGAGGAGGCCAGGAGGGCTGGGGGCAGCCCCATGGGATGCCAGCATCCCTCTCAGCAGGGGGGTTGCCGGTCCTGATGTGGGTTTCCAGCACCAGTCAGTCACTCCAGAGGTCACTCCAGAGTAGGTTGGGACGGGCTTATTTCTTCCACAGAGCAGAAAGTGAGGCATGACACTGACTGCCCTGTGGCACAGGCAGCGCAGCCCTCTGCCACGGCATGCCTTGCTGGCAGAGGAGCCACGTCTGCGATGACAGCCCTGTGCTCACAGCCCATTCTCTCCGTGCCACAGCTCTCCCCAGGCTCCGAGGACGACGAGGGACACGACAGCTCCAGCCGGGAGAACCTGGGTCGCATCCAGTTCAGCGTTGGCTACAACTTCCAGGAGTCCACCCTCACTGTCAAGATCATGAAGGCCCAGGAGCTGCCAGCCAAGGACTTCAGTGGCACAAGTGACCCCTTTGTCAAGATCTACCTGCTCCCCGACAAGAAGCACAAGCTGGAAACCAAGGTGAAGCGGAAGAACCTGAACCCGCATTGGAATGAGACCTTCCTCTTTGAAGGTAAGGGCAGGCTGAGTTGGGCTGGACTGGGCTTGTCCTCATGGCCTGGGGCAGACCCTCCACACTGCCATTTCCCCTCCCCTGGGTGCCCCCAGCCAGCCTCCACCACGCACCCTGGACTGGAGAGCCCAGCAGGGACAAAGTGATCAGGGCAGGACTGGCGCAGCCTGAGCTGCCAATGCAGTGGCCACCAGTGATGAGCAGAGTTTTCAGAGCCACAGAGGCCAGGCTGTCGCTGAAGGTGTTTGCTCTGTGTCCAGCCAGCGCTGGATGAGAGGCTCCTTCCCAACCCGGGTAGGGCCTGATGCATGCCTGAGGCCACGCAGGCACCTGCGGGAGCACATGGGTGACTTTTACTCTCTTGTGAAGCGCTAGAGCAATGGCTTGAAGCCGTGCAGCTCCTCCAAAGCATGGTGAATGCCCAGGGCCACAGTCTGTTCTTCATCCACTGTCAGACACGAACATTCCCCTCCTCAGTGCTGGAGGGAGGGGAATGCTCCCCTGGTGTTGGTGCTGGACAGCCCTATGGGCACCAGCACACACATAGGCTGCGCAGTTTGGCTGGGCTTGCTCTCCAGCCCTTTGGCAAGTTCCCTCCTCATCTTCTCTGCCTCCATCTCTGGTGCAGGTTTCCCCTATGAGAAGGTGGTGCAGCGAGTGCTGTACCTCCAGGTCCTGGACTATGACCGCTTCAGCCGTAATGACCCCATTGGGGAGGTGTCCATCCCCCTCAACAAAGTGGACCTCACCCAGATGCAGACCTTCTGGAAGGACCTGAAGCCCTGCAGCGATGGCAGCGTAAGGCCCTTGCTTGTCTGCCACAGTCTCCCAGGCCAAGGATGTGGCAGGAATTAACTATGCCTTTCATCCTACCCCACAGTCCTGGGGGACAGTCCTTGAGGAAGAAATACCCCAGGTTGCTGTGATATCCCAGCAGATATCCCTGGCCCCTGCAGAGCCAGGCCTTCTGGCCCGACCAGGGATGGGTGCTGGCAAGGGTGGCCCTGTGGGGTTCCCAGATGGGAGTGCTCTGACCAGATCCCCAGTACCCAGAGGCCTCATCAGTCCAGGAATGGGTCACTGGTGAGCTGACCTGCCTGACATGCTGTCAGCTGGCAGGAACCCCTGCAAAAGGCAGCTCTGAGGGAGCAAATCCACCTGAGCTTGGGTGACTTCACTCTGTAGAAACACATGCTGGAGCGCAAAGGGATTGCATGCTGTCCCCTAGCGTTTGCTGTCCTGTCTGTGTCAGCTGCTTGTTATCAGGACAAAGCAGGTTTCTGTTTTACTGTTTCTTGAAGGAAAAGGTTTGACTTTTAAGGGGGAGCTGGGGAGCTTGTGTTTTTCTTCCCAAATCTATAAGTTAAATAAAGGGTTTAAATATCCCAAATAGCCTGTCCGGGTACTGGGCTGTGCCCTAATGGCCTCTCCATCTCACAGGGAAGCCGAGGAGAGCTGCTCCTGTCCCTGTGCTACAACCCCTCTGCCAACTCCATCATTGTGAACATCATCAAAGCACGGAACCTCAAAGCCATGGACATCGGAGGGACATCAGGTATGAGCACCCAGTCCCCATCTCTGGGCATGGCCAGCGTCCTGCTGGCTCAGGCAGTGACTGCCCCGATGTCTCCCAGGCGGAAGGGAAGCCGTCCTGCTCACTTGCACATTGCAGGAATCAAGGAAGGGCCTAGCTGAAGTCCTAAGAGCAGTGTACTGTCCCCCCAGACCCCTACGTGAAGGTGTGGCTGATGTACAAAGACAAGCGGGTGGAGAAGAAGAAGACAGTAGTCATGAAGCGGTGCCTGAACCCCGTCTTCAATGAGTCCTTCGCCTTCGACATCCCCACTGAGCGGCTGCGTGAGACGACCATCGTCATCACCGTCATGGACAAGGACAGGCTGAGCCGGAATGATGTCATCGGCAAGGTGGGTCCTGCTGTCACACGGGCCAGGGCTTGTCCTCCTGCGCGCAGGGTGAGGGCACAGGCAAGGGGGCCATGGAGGGGAGGCAGGAGCTGATGGCCCAGCTGCCACCGAAGCCAGACACCAGGAAGGCAGGAGAGACTGCAGCTGGCTGCCACCCGAGTTCTCACGTTGGGGGTGCAGGGAACGGGCTTTGAAACATGATAGTTGTTTGCAGCGGGGTTGTTAGTACAAGCTAGAGAGAGGCCCGCTGCCCTCCCTGCACGCCACGTACAGCACAGGTCCACGGTAGCATTGCTGCTGGCTGCAGAGCCTTGTCTCCCCTGCCAAGCAGCACCGACTCAGGCCACAGGCACCTGATTCCTTCCGCGCATGCCCACAACTCATGCCATTCCTCTACCAAAGCACCTCGGCTTCACACCATGACCACAGGCCATGCGCCTCTGCCACGCTCCAGAGCACACGCCACAGACATGGGCAGCGGCCCTCAGCCGGACCTGCCACTGCCAATGGACACAGGTATTGCAGTGCCACCAGCATATGGTGGGATGGGAGGTCTGAGCCTGGTGCAACACGATGGTTATAGTGACCTAATTTGCCAAGCATCTTTTTCTCAACCTCTCTGCACCTGGGCACACTCAGCATCAGTTTGGCTGTTCATCCACGTGGTCTCCAAGCAGGGATTGCATGGACAGCAGGACTCAGCACACTGCAGTCTTCCTGCAGGCTGCAGAGAAATCTCACAGGTCCAGAGAGACAACACCAGGCACCACCAGCTCAGCATAGAAGTCCAAGCCCCTAGGCAATATGTATCCTGCCAAGGGGCAGCATCTGGGGAACATCCAAGACCATACATTGACCTGAAGAGTGCAGCCATCTCTGTTGGATACAACTGGTGCTGTCTCTGTGGGCTCAGCATCACCTGAGTGAGGCAGCGTGGTCTGGAGTGCATCTGCCAAGAGGAAGAAAAAGAGCAACAGATAGTTCCTGTGTCTTCCCAGCACTATTTCTGCATGGCCTTTCCCCATGCTGACCCTTGCTTGGAGTCTGGATGGGGATTTAAAGTGCCACTCATGCTAATCTAGGTGTTCTTCCAACTTTCTCATGGCCATCACTGCAGGATTTCGGACCCAAGTGTTGGGTTAGGAGCTGCATTGGATTTTGCTAGCAGTCTGGCTGAGAGAGGAGCTCTCACTCCGTGGTGAAGTCTGGAGCAATTGTTTCTCAGCCAAGAAGCAGAAGGAATTGTCATGCTGGTGCTCTGGACGAAGGTTTCTGCAAAGGACCGAGGCTGCAGGTAGCAGCTGCAAGCCTGGGCAGGCATTAGAGTCTCCACTGCTGTGCTCTGTCCCCATCCCACTTCTCTGGAGAAGGCAAGCTAGAGAGGAAGATGGAGCCCATATGGATCTCTTTTTGATTGGACTTTCTCTTCCATATCTGGCCCAGGCTGAGACTCTTCTGAGACCCCTACCACCAGCTGTGATGTCTGGAGTGAGGACTGATTCATCAGAAGTGAGACTGAGGCCACCAACCAAATCTCTGGTGGGAGTTAGCTGCCATTCCTGGCCAAACGAGGGCTGGTTCAAATCCTGGTGGAGACAGGCCGTGGAGCTTGTTAGCACAAATAACAGTTTGTCAGCCAGCTGGCAAAAGTGAGCTGAGAAGTGTCAGGAGCCAGCAACAAACTTCAGCCCCTCCATTTCCTGACAGCAGTGCGAGCGGGGTGAGGGGCTGCACGCCCACCTGAGAGGAATGGCCCCAGCTCACCTGGGCCAGTGGGGCACCCAGCACCACCTGACCAAAGCAAACCCAGCCGGGATCCAAGGCTGAACCCGTGCTGGTGTTGCGCTCTTCTTGTGCTTCAGCCCCTCCGATTAGTTTCTGGCTGGAAATGATGCCGGAGGTGCCGCGCACCTCCCTCCGCCCAGTCTCCCCGCAGCATGCTTCACACCGCTCTACAGCACAACCTGCTCCAGGGTGAACTTGGATCTGATGACAGTCTATTTATAGCGAGGCAAAAATCAAAGCCCCAGATTGCTTCCTTAGGCTGCGGCTCCAGGTGGAGCGCCAGATCCCCCGCTGCAGCAGCACCAGCCCCAGGTGTGGGGCTGCATGGTGGGCACGCTGGAACCTGGGCACTCGCGTGCCTGAGTAAAGAGCTTGCAAGGCTGGTTGCTGCAGGTTTGTCCTTTTAGGGGGTGACAGAGCTCCCCACGAGCCACGTGCAGCAGAGCCTCGTGGTTGCAGCATCCAGCCAGCAGGGCCAGGCAGTGTGGGTGCTGCTGCGGCACCGTGTCTCAGCCCCACAGCTCCCAGCGAGGGCCCCGGCCCCGTTCTCAGTGGTGACAGGATTACTTGGTGTGTCCCAGTAACAATAACAACAGAAAAATTAATCCGCTCTCAATTTGATTTACGTTAAATCCATACAGCTCTCCACTCATTATGGTAACGATGATAAACGAGTGCAGTAATCTCCGTTATTACTGCTCACCGCAGAGAGTCAATTATTCCCAAATGCAGCGTTGTAATAAAGCAAACATGTACATTGAATTAAACCCAGGAGGCAGCCAGAGCGTTTCGGCACAGACGAGGTGAGGGCGCGGGTTAGGGGCAGAGGTCCTGGCTCTGCCATGGGCGCAGCCCCAGAGGGGACATCGCCGGGGGGACCGCAGGGCTGAGCCAGCCCAGGCAGTCGCCACCAGGAGGTATTTCTAGCACCAAGCTGAGCATGACACCGTGGCTGCGAGGACAGACGGACAGCGTCTGTGCTGCCTTGGCTTTGCATTAACCCTGTTGGCAGCGACGCAGCGACAGAGCAGAGCGCCGCTGCGAACGGCTGAGTGCGGCAAGCGGGAAGGAGAGGAGAGTGCCCTTCACGGGCCCGGCCACGGTGCCGTGGCTGGCAACGTGCTAATAATTTTTGATTGACTAATTACCAGCGTTGTGCAAGCTCAGATCAGGCGCCACAATCCCCTTAGCTGAAGCGGCAGCCGCGGGCTCCATTAGCTGCCTCGGTGACACACGTCTCGGCTGTCAGCCGCGGAGAAGGTTGACACACACACACACATTTGCCGCGTCGCCGTATGGAAAATCAATGGATAAAAATAAC